TTGGGAGAACTAAATGAGACGAGGCTCCAGGGAACAACTAATAAAAATTAGAAAAATACTTAGTAGAATTATAATCTTAAAATAATTTTCTGACATAAAAGATTTTACCAAGGGACATATACCTTTCTCTGAACTTCTATTTTCTGTTGTTTCTTTTTATTGTAGATCAAACTAGAGACAATAGAATTATTCAAAATAGACAGAAGGGCTCAGATTACCTTGAAAGAATTTCCTGAATATAACTGCTATTAAGTATTTCTGAATGAAGTAAGACTATGGCTACTGTATCTGAAGGACAAGAGATGAATATAATCCTTCTCAAAAGGTCTCTTCTGATCTTAGAGTATAAAGTTTATTCTCTACAGTTCTTAAGATAGGACCACTGGGCCATGAGCATAATTTGACATTCTCCATGGCATCATTAGTATTTCCACATCCATCAGAGAAGGGAAAGTTCAGCTCCAATTTAGCAATGACTATGACACCTTTACTCTTGCATTGAGCCAAGAGAATTGAAGAGGTGGGAAATAAAGACCTAATGTGGAGAATTAAAGAAGAATGAAACTAAAGGAAGAGATACCCATTTTCTGACACCAAACGCCATGTCAAAATACTGATATCATAGTCTTGGTTTGTCTACTTAATAGTTATGCAGCCTAGAGAAATTCAGTTAATGTCATTGAATTTGTTTCCTCACCAGAAAACAGGTACAGTATTTCTGCCTTACAGCAACCACAAAAATCCAAGATATTTTGATTCAGGTAGTATTAATTGAGCACCTGCTACTACATACCATGCATAGTACTACTTATTTTTGTATTCAATACCAAAACAATCCTCGAAAACATTAAAGGTAGAAATATTTTCATGTATATTTCTACCAATTCAACTTACCGTACTTCGCAGTACACTAAGGCTACCCCATATTACAATTCCAGAAGCACCAAGAGCAATAGTTTCACCAAGTGTATTCACAAGGTCATCCTGGAAAACGTGATAGAAAGAGTCATCAGATAAAAATAAAATAAAATTGTTATACATAGGACAGTAACACCACAGCTAAGCATGCTGACCCAATAATAGTAATTTAAATATTTCTCCACTATTTATATCTTTTACATAGCCATTGCCTTACTATAAAAAATAGAGTCTTTTCTTGTTTTAATTGCTTTTATTGACAAGAGAGCAAAAGCATGAAAGAAAAAAAAGAAACTGAGTTAGTACATTATCTCTATTATCTAATTTTCCATGCTTGCTAAGAGATCATGAGATTACATTAAAGATTAAATATATTCTTATTTTGAAGTCAAATAATGATGTAGAACTACTTGTGTACACATATTAAAAGTTAGATTTCACTCCCTTCAAAAATAATAAGTTTCACTAAATAAGTTTCACTTTTTGTTGACACTAGTTCATTGGCCTCATACAAGATTTACTTACCTGAGAAAGGAATTTCAAAGTTGAATCTGTAAAAACTAGGCGGGCATATACAAAAACTGGAAGTGGCCTTTTAGCATCAGGTATTTTGGAAATCCTAATGGCTTCATAAACTCGATTTCGCACATAGAGCGCAGCTTGTGTAGGAGACATTAAGGTGTTCAAATAAATTGATGGGTAAAGGGCAGTGCTTTCCTTCCACAGCCAGTTGAGATCATCATTTCTTTTCTTTTCTATATAAAAGCAACTTCCATTGAAACCAGGTTGCCTATAATTATGGTTGTAACAATCAGGAAAAAGATAATAACCCCATAAGTGATTTGACCGAAGTAATTTCCCTAATTTTAAAGTCTCTCGCATGAAATCCTTTCCTGCCGTTTCAAATTCATTTTGGGCTATCTTGGTAGCCTCTGCGACGCTAAGGCTTGTATTTTTTTGCCGAACCAAGTCAATAGAACGAGTCTTGTAAATATCTTTAGGTTTCCAGTTTCTTGCCCAAGTGGGCCTCCATTCTTCCCAGTCAATGACAGCCAAGCCCACATGGTCTGTTGGTATGTAATAAAGAATGTCTTTCCTAGCTTTGTCCAAATGGTCTTGTAAGGACGCGTTCTGAGGGATTCCTCCATACACGATCGTGCCCGAATGTCCTATATAAGGGTAGTAGCCAAGTCTATCAACATAAAATATTGTAACATCTTGTCCTATGACATCTTTTCGGGGGCTTCCTACTAAAGAGAAGAGGCTCAGATCTAGTGGCTCATTAAGTGCTCCAACACAAAGTTCAGTTGGGGCATTCCAGGCCCAGAGGAAAGGCACATTTGGGATAAGAGGGGGTGCTCTGAAATCCAGAGTCAAGCAACATGGAATCAGAAGGAAGGTGAACACTGTCTGGGATACTCCACTGGAGTCATCAAAGCTCCCAAAAAAGATGTGCTTGAACCTTAGCACTTTCATTGCAAGAATAATGACTACTATAAAACATTTATTTCTTCCTACACACTTTTTTTACCCAATATTTGGTGCAAGATATGAGAACAGATGAAAGAGAAGGGAATGAAGCCACTTTGATGAATAAAGAGGTATAATGATTATATT